CTGCTAGCAAACTTTGAGTAATGAACTGATTATATGATACTGGACTATGTTATTTGGATTATCCCTTAACTGAAGGACGTTGATGAATGACTGTATTATCCATGTATGACTTGGACTGTTTGATGGATTCTGATACCTGTATTTCCACGAAAGTAAAAGCCTATTTAAACTGCAGTGTGTCTGTATGCTGGTTTGTGTGTTCTCCAACACAACTCTCACAACGCTTCGCTGAACGTATTCACTCTCCCAACGGGGAGCTTACCTAACAATTATGGTATTGTTTTCCACTTGATTGTTTACCTGGCATGAATTCCCCTTATTTGGGTGTTGGCTGCTGGAAGGTCTTTTTGTTTCCTTCCTAACTATTTTTGTTATATCTTTTGAATTGTGTTTAAATATGGTTTATTTTTAATGTTTCTATTGATGGCTGATTTATCTGAATGCCAAGCTTCCAGGAATTCCTTAGTATCTTTGACTTGGTTTGGTCTAGGATGTTCTCACATTCCCAGCTAAAACTGTGGTTGAGTCTGTCCATGTGTCATAAGATTAAGGAGTTTTCATCCCATCTTCTGACTGTTAGTTGGTGCTCATGGGTATGCTATGCTTGTCTTCTGCCTGTCTGGCCTACATAGTGGCTGTTATAATCCTTACACCTTATGTTCATTCCTGTTTTTCTTCTTGGGCTGATCGGTCTTTTGACTTAAGCTGTTCTGGAGAGATTTGGTTGGTTTGAGAGTTGGTTTGTGGTTTAATTGTTTTGGGCATAGATTTACCTATTTATAGATTGCTGAAGGAATGGCAGGAAGAGGGGAGGTAAAGCTATCTTTTGCCTTTCTCTCTATAACTATTGTTACAACAGCTAGAGAAAAGGAAGGAAAATGCTTCATGCTGTGGCTATGGAGCACTACAGCATTAGAACATTAGGAGTGAGTAAAGGGTTTGAGGAAAATGTAAACTGCAGGGACAGGATTCTTTATCCTCCCAGTGACATTATCTGGACTGTAACAGATTCCTGAGCTTTTAAAAATAGCTGGTCTGAGAAATACCAGAACTGTTTGTGATTTTGAGGAAATCCTCTTAGTTATTCAAGTTGTGTTCTGAATCATGCACTGGAGAGATGGGATTGTCTTGAATGAACTATACTGCATGACCTCCATGTTTACAAACGTGTTTGTTTTATTAGATACTATTTCCAATATCAGCGGGATCTCTGGTTGATGCCAGTCATCCTATTCTGTATTCATACATAAAACCAACGTGCTTATTTGACTGACTGAGTGACTGAGTGAGACAGCATTAGTTAAGGAAGATATGCCAATCCTAATTAAATGGAATAGTATAAGTAAAAGATTAAAAAGTAACAGCCTATATATGCTGCCTCTCTTTTCAAGTCTTCCATTTTTATAAAAATAACAAGTATGTGTGTGAATGAGTAGTGATGGTTGTATTCAAGAATGTGTATTTATCTATCTGCATATAATTTTTCTTATGGGTGGGAGGTTATATGTTTCCATGTGAATGTAAGACTTATGAAAGGAAGATGCAGTATATGTGAATAAGTATGGAAATTGCATCTCTCTGTGTGTATAGTCAAATTGTGCGGGAGGGGTATACTGTGCTTGTTCCATTGTAAAGATAGTCCTCGACAATTGGGACCAGCAACTTGGTTGCATGTATATTTATTATTTTACTATAAAACTTACAATGATGCTAAAGGACATACTAACTTAAAATCATATCGCATCATATCCAGGCTGTGACATTCTCCCAAAGTGTCTAAATATGTTTGCCAAACCGTCCCCTGAGCCCGTGACATATAAAGCAGCAATTGCAACAAGAAGATTTAATTAAATTCAATAAAGTAATTACAAATCCATGCTTGTAAAATGAAAAACAGATGCTTTATGGTTACTGATGGGAGCAGTGGATCAATAGCCCTATATTTATTTGCCATTTGATTATAATATTTAATCACGCAATCATGAAGTTAGAAAAGGCCTTTTAGATCTTCAGGTCTAACATCTTCCTCAATGCCAAAAGTTAAATAAATGATTCTTCACAGAAAGCTTCTACTTGAACACACCCAGCAAAGATAAGTTTCTGGGCAATTGGTTCCACTATCAGACTGCTCTGACTGTCAGAATTTTTTAAACTTCTTATTCAATCAGAATCTATTCTGAATTTAAAAGTAGCTGAAATCCATTTTCCCACGTTTTGGATGTAGAACAATGACTCATCTTTACCTTCTTCTCTGTAATGTCTTTTTAGATATACAAAATATGCTATTGTGTCCCTCATCGGTCTTCTGTTCTCAAGGCTAAATATCCCAGTTCTTTCACCTTCCTCAAATAATTTGATTTCTAGCTCCCTGATTAGCATAATCGATCTTCTCTGAACCTCTTCTGATTAGTCTGAATGCTTTTTAAAGTAGGGTGCAAAAAACTAGGCACAAAACTCAAGTTGGCGTCTGATCAATGCAGAATAAAATGGAACAATTATTTATCGTCCTTCGGAAGCTATTATATGCCTACATGTCCTAAAATTCCACATGCCTTTTTTGCAGCTAGTTCATGATGCTGACACTTATTTGGTTTGCAGTCAATATTATTCCAAAATTGTTATTTGTTATAAGCACTTTATTACCAAACTAGGTATCTCAGATGCTACACCTATGCATCTCATCTCTGTGTGAAGAGCGTTGCAAGTTTCTTGAATTTCATTCTTTATTTTTACCTATTTCTCTACCCTATGAAAATAATTTTAAATTGTATTTCTGTCTTCTGGGATGTTCGCGATTTCTTGCTTTTTGTGATCCTGCTTACCCATGGGGACAATTCCATTGCTTGGTTTTCCCCTATGGAAACTGTCAACTCATGTTGTACTATTTCCTTTGTCTGTCTGATAAATCTTTTATCTTCATGAGCTGAAGTATGCCCATTTGTTGCTATAGTTCTTACTACTTATTCAAGTACAACTGACACATTATATTTTCTGCAAACATTTGCCAGATTGTTTCCACGCAAAAACATGAACATACCACATGGCATGCAGAGCTTTGTGGTATGTTTTTGTTCTTATCTGAAGGCATAGCTACCGATTCCTTTCCATATGACTTCAGTTCATTCAAGTAGAAGAGAAGATATGTGATTCAGGGTTGAACTACCTATTTAGTAATGAAACATCTGCAAGCAAACAACCAAGCTCAGAGAGCACCAAGGACTCCACAACTTCAGTTTTATGTTGTAAAAACCACCAGTAGGAGGTGTCCTATTTTGTCTATTTTTTGTTTGTGTGTTCACCTTCTTCTTCCTTTCTTTTTGTTCCCTTCTCAAGTTTTACACTGAGGGGAAGTTTGAAAGGGATTTCTCATTAAACTCTTTTGCTGTTGGACCTCTGTTCTCATTCATTGAGTAAATAAAGTGTATTTCTTGTTTTACAATAGAGGAGATAGCTACTTTTAAAGCAAGCATGGAAAAACTTTGAGTTTCTATGATATAAGCCGTAATTGATATAGGGATTTTATTTACATTTGGGTGCCATCGTGAAAGGCAATTTTATACAGATAATTATATAAGATGGTATCATGTAATTTTGCCTGCTTGCTAGGCTACATGTATGGGGCTCATGGGAAACAAAGTCTAACAACATCTAGAATATTTGTGTGAAGACAGCTTGAGTTTATGAAACTATTCACTAGCTGAAACCATTCCAACAAATTACAGAAGCAAACAAAATATCTTAATTTGGTTGTGGACTAAGAACTGTTCATGATCATCGTGTATACAGATAGTTCTCAAGTTATGACCACAACTGAGACCACAATTTCTATTGTTAAGCATGGCAGTTGTTAAGCAAATCACACCCATTTTTATTATCTTTTTTGCCCTGGTTGGTAAGTGAATCACTTGCAGTTGTTAAATTAAATAACATGTTTTGTTAAGCAAACCTGGGTTCTGCCATTGACTTTGCTTGTAAGAAGCCCACTGAGAAGGTCACAGAGGGCAGTCAAATGACTCTGATTTATGACAATTGCAAATGACAATGCAATTGTCATAAATCCATGCCAATTTTGAAGCACCCAAATTTTGATCACATGAACATGGACATACCGTGATGGTTGTAAGTGCAAATACTGGTTGTAAGTCACTTTTGCCAGTGCCATTTTGAATGGTCACTAAATGAATAGTTGTAAGTCAAGGACCAATTTTAATGATAGTTATAGAGTATTAAAACCTTTATTCAATGGAGTCAACTCTAATGTGTATACATGTTTTACAATAACACAGAGGAAAAATGTTGAATTTGAATTTTAAAAAATTCAGATGCTAACATAAAGCAATCACATTTATCTACATTTTGTTTTTAGCCTGGATGTGTAAATACGACTGAAGTTGATATTAAAAAGTCTTCAAGAATGAGAAATCCTCACAAAACAAGAAAGGTATGTTCTTATTTTTAGTAATTATGTATATATAAGCATATTTTGTTTACCCTTATAGTGAAGAAATCCATTATAATACTTCTGAGTATATACATTGATAGAAAATTCTTTAAAAAATGAAAACCGGTTTGGTTTTATTCTAGAAGCAAGTATCCCCCACAAATAAATACTTAGATTTTTTTTTAATGTTTAGAAAAAAAATTATCCAGCCCTTTGCCAATTCTTCATTCTGATTTATTAAAATCAACCCTTTTGCAAATAACATAAACTGCTCTGGACCGCCGTCCTGTGCACTTCTTCTGTGACTGCAAATGCAACATTGGTACATGACCTTTCAATAAATGGTTTCTGCACTCGTGACGCAACACTCACCTCTATCCTGTTCATCAAGAACAGATCACTTTAATGATGGATGTCACCATCGTGAACATCTGTTGTAAAATCGGGAATTGCAAGTCCTGATATGACTTGTAACTGCTTGGATAGATGTTGCAGCATGGATATTTCTAGTTATCGTGTTCATGAAATTTTTCTGGCAATAGTAATTATACATCTGAAACAATTATAGCAGGTGTGAGTTCCAGTAATATGGCTACATAACTGCAACAGAGGAATTGGCCCTTGCTTTAATCTCTGAAGGAAAAGTAATCATCCTTTTAAAAACAAAATTAGTAAATGCAATGAGATAGAGAGGTTCCCAGTCCTGACTACAAAACTATCCAACATGAGAATAAAAAAGTGATGACATTTTCAGATATTAGAATTAAAACCGTATATTTGTTACACTGGATTAGGATTTCACTGTATTGTACATTTTTGAATGAGATAAGATGGCAATCCAAAATGCAATGTGGTTCAGTTAAAATATTAGTGTTTAAGCCAATAATCAGCTTTGTTACAGTAGGTTATAATGACATTTTGGCTGGTGTATATGTAAAAGAGTTGTGCCAAGAATGAGTCACATCTCAAATGTTTGGCGTACCCTGAAGATGTATACAAATAATAGGCCATCACAGCATTTGTAACTTTAAAAAAAATTAGCCCACAAGTACAACAGCTGTTTCTGGGTCTCTATATAGATAGAAACACCCCCACACTAACCATCAACCTCTTCCTTATTGATGTAAGTAATGTTATACAAGGCACAAAAAAGGAATAAGAAACAATAAGCCAGATAACTTTAAGATTTGAGAGAGGGAAACAGGGTTTCCTTAAATCTATTAATATCAATACCCTTCTAACCCTGCAAACTATACTTCTTTCCCTTACATTCATCTGTTACTTTATACAAGGGGGATTTATACATTTATTCAATCCATTCACCCTATCTTTAAACATTTGGGTATGTTTCTATACACATTAATTCTCTATATGATCAAACCACCTCAACATACTTCTTGATTTCTGATCATTTACTTTTTTGTTCAATTGGAATTCATTTATTGTGTTGTGTTTCTTTTAATTTGTTGTCTTATTTGTTTTAATCCTTATTAATATTTCTTATTTCTGTAAGCTGCCCGGAGTCCTCCGGGATTGGGCGGCCTATAAATTCAATAAATGGAAATGGAAATGGAAATTTAACTCTCATTAATTCGTCAACCCATCTCTTGTTTTTCCACACACACACCATTCAACTTACTTTTATCAGTCAATCTAAATCTTTATTCATAGATCATCAGATAAAACACCAGAGTATTCACTTTTCCACTTCACCATTCTATCAATAATCAATGTTAATATAATTCTCACATAGGTTTGTAGCTCCTTGTGGCATACTTGTTTTTGCTGATAGAGGAGACTGTTTGTAGCTCTGGATTGAAATCCTGAGGGGTCCTTGATGCTCCCCGAGCTTGGTTGTTTGGTTGCAGATGTTTCATTACCTAAACTAGGTAACACCATGCATGAAAGTGCCCTTGGCCACACTTTCACCAGTGGCTTCAGCAGAAGATGAGAGTGAAGTATACCTCAAATCATGAACTACATTCTTCAGAGATGACAGTACAAGTAGACCTGAAGTGATGAACTACAACCCTATTCAGAGTAATGCAGGGCCAATGTTTTTTTTAAATTATCTAGTTCTTTACTGATGAAGAACAACTCTGTCCAGGGTTTGTTTTGCCTCATCTGATGTGGACATTCAGGCGTTCTACACTATTTCTGATTTGGTCGAAGGTAGCAATGTACACCTGAATTTCATTCACCTATTGAGAAGACCTCATCCCAGTCGGACATTTGACTTCTTTCAGTGATTTCATGTAGATGAGCAATATAGAGAAGAGCACTGAGCCTTCTGTAAATCTTCATGGCAGTACCCATTGACAAATGCTTCACCCAGGGGCGGGCTTCAAAATTTTTAGCAAGGGGTTCTCTGCCCGATTGCTGGGTAGGTGTGGCCTCCTGCATCACAGTGGGGGGGGTGTATTTGCCCTCCCAGGGCTCCAGAGGTTTTCCTCAAGCCTCTGGGAAGGTGAAAACAGCCTCCCCAGGCTCTGGAGGTCCTCCGGACGCCCATTTCCGGCCTTCCCAAACTTCTGGTAGGGCTGTTTTTCACCTTCCCTGAGCCATGCACTTACCTGCATCCAAACCAGGCTACACTCGGTCTCCTGGGAGGAGTGGGGAGGGGTGGGCAGGGCCAGCCAGGAGTGGGATATGGGGGTTCTCCAAACTGCACAGAATCTTAGCTAGAGGTTCTCCCGAATCTGTGTGAACCCCCAGCAGCCCACCCTGACTTCTCCTCATGACCACTGATGGAATTGCATAGGCGTAGCAAAACTCTGTTGTGTTAACATCTCTCTTTTATTTTTATATGCAGTCTGTTTATGGATTACAGAATGATATTCGAAGTCATAGTCCGACATACACACCAGTGCCAGAAACAAAACCTCCCACAGAAGACCAATTGTGTCAAGAGGTTTGTGAGACTATATTTATTTGGTTTACTCACTCATGTAACAAAACAAAATGCTGAACTTACTGCATTCTGAAAAAACAAAATATAAAACATATTATGTATTACTTTAAATGAATGCCTGGAATATTTTGAAAATGTCAGAACTGAATTAAATGCTCCAGTCTATCAGAATGCATGGCAATCCAGAGCCACAACTGCTAGCCCCAGAGGGCTCTCAGGCATTATGCAGATAGGGGAGGAATCTTGGCTGAGAGTGTTGGAAGCAAGTGGGGAAAACATAGATGGGAGAGAAAAGGAATGTCCATCTGGGAATAGCATTGTGTTCAGGGTTTGATTCACAATACATTTAAATATAATACAAGGTGCCATATTTTACCACCATCACCAGTTGCTTCCATTTCATGCATTTTCCTAAAAACATTAAAGGTTATAATTTTGATCTATTATATTCTCCAGATTTCAGTGGATAATAGAGATAGCTGTGTGTGTGAGTGCTTGTAAGTGTGTTTTATACACACGCACCTCTCTTTCTCTCATCTATCTATCTATCTATCTATCTATCTATCTATCTATCTATCTATCTATCTATCTATCTATCTATCATCTATCTAGCTATCATCTTCATCATCATCATTAACTAGCTAGCTATCATCTAGCTAACTATTGCATTTCAAGAATCAATCGCTGGAAAATAATACTATTCTCTAATAGATAGCAACAACAATTACACTTATATTGGTGCACTGTGCTTTACAGCACTTTCTGGGTGGTTTATAATGTTAGCCCATTTCCCCCAACAGTCTGGGTCCTCATTTTACCAACCTCAGAAGGATGGAAGGCTGAGTCAACCTTGAGCCACATCAGAATCGAACAATACTGCATTCTAACCACAGTGCCACCAGGGCTCTTTAGATAGATACTTCTATTTCCAATCTGTGCTTCCCTCAATTATTTCTACCTCTCTCATATTTGTCATAGCAGCCCTAACTTCAAGATATGTGGCTGGAGAGGGCTTAGGATGAGGTGCAACTGCAGGTCCTGCCAGCCATGAGGATTCTATGTGCCCCAATTTTTCTCATGGAACAATCCTTTGGCTAATGAACCATACATATTTTATTGCAAACCCAATATCTCAACAGCTTTCCACGAACTACAAAGCACTGTTGACTGTTGATCTTATTTTAGGGTATGATCCAACTGTACTAAGATACTTGAACTTCTGAGTAGTTTTTATGCTGAGCCTTGCTTTGAATCCTGATTTTAATAAATATTATGGAACACATCTGTATGTGTGACTATAGGGGTAGCGAAAGGGTGGGTTGTCATCTTAGATTGATGATAATCTAATTACCCAAAACTAAAAATATTTGTATCATAAATACAGAATAATTACCCAAAACTGCGTGCATTTTTTATCCTATTATCCTTTAATGGAAGTTTTAAGTATGTGGATCTGCAAAAATCCACATCTTTTTAGATTTAATGGCAAAAGTCCTTTCAATATTACTGACCACTGCACTGTTATGAGGTCTTTACTTGAGCTGGATTGTGCTTTCTCTTGACTTAATTTATAAAAAGATCAATGCATAAGGCTTACCATGAGTTCATATAAAATGCTCCATTTTCCTTAGGCCAAATTTATCTCTATTTACTCAAACCTTAGACTGCTTTTATCACTTGTTTGTTTTTTGCCTTTTGTAGATAAAATATTGGCAAATACAGCTAGAAAGACATCGGTTAAAAATGTCAAAAGTTGCTGACAGGTAAGTATATTGTATTTGAATTTGATTAAAGTAAAAAAGCTGCCATTTTCTGTACTCACAAAAAAATGGGAGGGAAAGAGGAGCAATTATTAAATGAATGATTCTGACATAACTGAAAAAAATGTATTTAGTTAGGACCTTGCTTTGTAAAAATAGGTTCTTAATACTCTTTGCAATAAATGCATTGTAAAAATGTTAGCTGATTGTGTTTTTCTAGTCTATTAAGTTTTACCGAGCAGTATGTGGAATACGACCCTTTCCTGCATCCATCTGATCCTTCTAATCCTTGGCTGTCAGATGACACTACTTTCTGGGAAACAGAAATAAGGTATGTTAGGAGTAAATTTGGTCTCACCCCCCCCCAAATAAATAACAAATATTCAGTAGCATTAGTTTAAAAAATCAGATTACAAGAAAGAAGGAGAAAGAATATTTTTCACAATGTTCCACTGTTAAAGATTTTCCTTAGTAAAGGACAATCAAGGATTACAGCAGGGACCCAGTTTTTATGTTTCTAAATTCCCTTTTGTCTATGTTATCAAGCAGTGCTCTCCCCGTAGGACTTTGTGACGCAAGGAAAAAAACAACCTAGATATGCTGGAGAAATTGCACCATGCCGAAAATAGTACAGTTTCCATATAACCACCCGTGTGAATGTGCTAACAACAGAGGTCTAATAATAGTGGAACCAAATACACTAATAGGATTATTTTTCTTGGCCAAAACGCTGAACTGAACTGATGCTATTTAGGAGATTAACATTCTTTCAACTTTAGCATGAAAAAAAGCTTTAGTTATCTGCTTGTACCATAGCTGTAGCACGGTACATATTTACTGCAGTTAAAGTAATATGCAGTTGAAGTAGCCCTATATGTGATTAAGTTACTTTGCATGGCCCACACCATCTTCTCCCGATAGCGAGGCAGATATAGAGCCAATCGAGCTATTTCAACAAGTCTGAGGGATTGTTGGTTTGTTTTTTTCCTTTCAGCAAAGAGCCAAGTCAGCAAAGAGTAAAGCGATGGGGCTTTGGCATGGATGAAGCTCTGAAAGACCCAGTGGGAAGAGAACAGTTCCTCAAATACCTGGAGTCTGAATTTAGTTCAGAGAATTTAAGGTTAGCCTTTCCCTCTACTCATTGATATCTGGGCTGTCTAAGGAAATAGTATAATGGGGATGAATCTGCTATTTATCCTCAATGTGCTCAGCAGAGCCCACTTTCTCCACCCATGGGAGTTTTTAAATGAGGCAAAAGCAGGAGTCCAATTTCACATCTGACCTAGCTTATACAATCCTTCTGGGAAGACCTGAGTGATGTTTCCACTTTTCTTTTCCTGGTTAGGAGAATATAACCAGTAAATAATCTGTCAGAGGGGAATTGCTGAGCCTTCTGGAGAATATGTATTATTTTGCCAGTGATCATTATCATCATGCTAGTAATCTCTGCTGCTTTATTATTATTTCTTTCTGAAAATTAGAACAGGAGAAATAAAAGAAGATGTATTTAAGATCAACGTTTCTACCTTTCTGAAGCCAATTTTCTTTCTACTGCATTTACTCATTCCTCGTAGAATGAGGAATTTACTCATTCTAGAGAAAAGTTAAGTATAGGGTGATTTGGTTGAAATAGCATTTATCTAGAAACTCCTCTATATGGAGATTCTCAAGTCATCCAGGTCATGGTTGTCTCAAAGGTGCTGTTCAAAAGGCAACTGGACTTTCTTGGGTTTTTTTCTTGAAAACATTTCTCATCCATTAAAAAGCTCCATGAATGAGAAGCTTCTTGGATAAGAAGCAAAAAAATTTCAAGGAAAAAATCAAGAAAGTTCAGTTTTCTTTTGAATAGCATCTTTGGGACATTTCCCCACGTTATGCTGTTCAATGTATACTTTGTCCTACTGATTAATCCTGGACAGTGGAGTAACATTTAATGTAGCAGAAGGAGCTTTGGTAAATTAAGATATCAACCATGTGGCTATGTATGTTTGGGTGCCTCCTTGTGGTTTTTTTTTTTCTAAAGATGTTAGCGATAGAAGGGCAATTTCTTAAGGATACAGATAGAGTTTTATTGCATCAACAAACAAACAATACAGGCACATTATTTTAATAAAATGTTAAAAAATCTACTTTGAGTTTCAGGGATTCCTAAGGGTAAGAAAAATAATGAATGTTGAGCTTAAGGAAACAAAAATTTGTAGAAATGCAGATGTTTTGTTTGTAGAATGGAGTCATAAAGGTTTTGAAATTTGCTGATCCACATTGATAATTGTATGGATACAGCAACAAATACACATAGATTGCAACATATCATTATAGACTCATAGGGTTGAAGGGTTCCTGGAGATATTCTAGTTCAACCCCTGCCCAATGAAGGAATCTTCAAGCCAGACAAATGGCTGTCCAATCTTTTCTTGACTACTTCCATCCAACTCAGGAGCCAGACTGTTCTCTTATTTAATGGCTCTCCCAGTCTGGAAATTCTTCCTTATTTCAAGTCTGAATTTTCACTGAAAAGCTTCCCCTATTTCTTCTCATCTTATTCTCAGGTGCTATGGAAAATAAATCCATACCCTTTTCCTTGTTGCAACCTTTCATATATGGACAATGGCTATATGTCTCTCCATAAACTTCTCTTCTTTAGGATAAACATACCAAGTTCCTTTAACTGACATTGTTTGTAGGATTGAGTCTCAAACCTCACTATCTTTGTTGGTCTTCTCCATACTCAGCATCAATGCCACATATTCATACACACAGAATAAAGTTAAAGCCCAATATAATTTAGCCAAAAATCAAAGATTAGTTCTTTTCTGTTTTACTTTCATTCATATAATATTTCTTATGGGTTGGGTTCTTCTTTATCTTTTGATAATGCATCTTGCAATGTCATGTATTTCTCAAGATAAATTTATCTTCTGCCCTTTTGTCCTTAGGTTATTCGCTATTTTCTCATTGTTCCTTGTCCTCAGGCATGACAGCTCTTTATCCAAATCCAAAACAGCATATTTATTGAAAAATAAGAAGATGCGTGACTCACTTGCCATTTCTTTGTGCAGCAACAATTCCTCTATTTTGAGTTGTTTGCAGCATCTGTTGTTCATCTGAGACTCAGATCTCTTCTTTCAATGCTTCTTTGACTTGTTCTTACTCTTGGCCTCAGCTTTGTTGTGATTTTTCATTATTATTTGCACTGTCTATTTTCATTCCAATATGTGATTACCTCCTATGTAATTGATAGGAGAAAGAACATAGAAGATAGAATAATAGAATTGGGAGGGACCTTGCAGGTCTTCTAGTCTACACCTTATGCTTGAACAGGAGACCCTATATGATTTCATACATGGTTGTCCAATCTCTTGTTGAAAGCCTCCAATGATGGAGCATCCACAACTTCTGAAGGCAAGTTGTTCCATTGGTTGATTGCTCTCACCATTAGGAAATTTCTTCTTAGTTCTAGTTTCTTCTCTCCTTGGTTAGTTTCTTTTGATTGTTACTTGACTTGCCTTTTGGTGCTTTGGAAAATAGTTTGACTCCCTCATCTTTGTAGGAGCCTTTCAAATATTGGAACTCTGCTATCATGTCTCTCCTAGTCCTTCTTTTCATTAGACTAGACATACCCAATTCCTGTAATTGTTCTTTGTATGTTTTAGTCCCTAATCATTTTGTTTGCTCTTCTTTGCAGAAAAATAAATAAATATTGATTCTCTTTCCACAAAATGTTCTGAAATCAAGCAGGCATGACAAAAACCATAAGAAGCTTAGAAGTGGTACCCTTAAGTATCTGTTACCTATCTTCTTTCTTCTTCTTTCTTCTAATTATGATATAAACTGGGTACAGGTTCATATATGATGAAATGCAGCTCCTATATTTTCACTGTTATCTTACCAAGTCTTTAACTATAAATGTTAGGACCCCATTCCATTGTATGAATTATCACTACTGCTGGATTTTTCCTAGTATCAATTTTTGTTAGACATGAATTTTGTTTATAGGTGGTATCTATTTCGTAAAATGTAAAATCAAGGCAAAACCCATCTCACACACCTGACACACTACTCTTCGCACAGCATTGCTGAAACCACAGATGGTCTTTGTAGCCTTCTTGCCTTCCCAACTGGGAGTACCATAAATTGTGATCTTATTGAAAGGCCAGCTGGATGAAGATGCAAGAGATCTTTTGCTTGATGAATACTCCATGTTAGAATGACTAACTGGAGACTCAAAGAGAGATCAGAGGCCTCAACTGAATATTGTTACTGACATATCCTTGTGAGCTGAGGAGGTTATTTAAGGTTGATTGCGAGAAAGAAATTGTTCTTTGGTGTGAACTATCCTGTTATGTAATTTAAATAGATATTTAAATATTGACTTATTTATACTGTGATTTTCTGCACTGTTTTCTGCACAAGAGTAATTATATTCTTCTAAACCAAACTGTCAGTTACTTAATCCAAAGAATTTTAATCCAGTGACATATTCCTTACACTCAGTGCATTGGCTGAATGGAAAATGCAAGAGGGTAAGCTTTATTTTTCATTGCTTCTTCTACTCTCTGAAGCATTGAAGATTATTTGGACGGGGTGGGCAACCATGATCTGTGAACTTCAATTCCCAGAATTCATAAGCCAATCATGAGGGTCACAGGTCATAAAGTTGCTATAGTTGCCCACTCCTGTGTTAGAGTGTTAAAGGTCCAGGCACTTTGATTCTTAGCACCTGATGTCCCACTAACCACAGATAGTCAAGGATTTTTCTCCCCCCACCCTCCTCCTCCTCTTTTGTCTTCTTCCCACAAGTGCAGGGTCTGCTTTTTTGAGATCAACCCAAAGGTTGCAACAGGAATTAGCCAACTGGCTTGTCAACTAAGCTTGACATCAATGGCTGAGAGTGTGTGACTGGCATTATCCCAATGGCTTTTGTGCATAAAACAAGACTAGAATGCATCATTTCCTGGTTTTTAACCTGGTGCTTTAACCACTACATCAAACTGGATCTCATCTTGTACACTTACATGTAGGATGTACTGATCTAGGGATTAAAATGACATTTATCACAGAAGGCTGCATAGGGATGATGAAAGTTGAGCATACTTCCTTCCATGGATAGAAGTATTCAACAAGGAAAGAAGGCAAACCCATCGCTAGATAGAACCCACTTGTTCCCATCTGACTTTGATGTTTCATACATATCTTTTCTTGACCTACCAAATTAGAATCCTAAAGAAAAGTCTATGGAGAGGATATTTTTCAAATCAAACACAGTGCCTCTCTTATGTTGATAAATTTTATGTTCAGTGTTGATTAATTATGGATTTAATTAAAACCATGGCTATTTACAATGTCACAATGATTATAATACTGCAATTTCTCCATTTTATACTACGTATTGTCATGTCTCTTAGTTTTAAAGTATGATTATAGATTGCTAAAAGGAGTCACTGAATACAAAATGAGCCAATATTGACTTTAGTTCCCATATCTATAACCATAGCATTGATAGGTTCTGGCATTTTGGTAAAAACCAACATTTGCCGCCATGATGCATATATACAAGCAGCAGAGCTTTAATCACAACAATGCAGCTTTTTAAATATCATTTGTCCACTTCTCCTGAATTGTCTCTGTCTACAAGATATGCCAAATAAATAAAACAACAGTGCCTTAAATACAGTTTCCCTGACATTGGAGATTCAGGTTCAGCAGTTTTGAACTCCCAACTACAGTAAGATGGTTGCAGACATCAATCACTGCAAATTCTGACACATCTATACAAAATTTACTAACTCCTTACTTTGAAGTTATTTATCTATTGAATTTTTGAGGGAAAAATACTTTAAACATATCTTTAAGTTAATATTTGGAGTTACTTTTGAAACACCTCAAATGTAATGTGAACATGGACAAGAATTATATATGAAAAAAAAACCCCACACATCACAAATATGGATGAGAAATGGATTCAACTACCTGACATTAAAGTGAAATGAGACCCCAGAGAGATGATTCAATGCTTTCAGGCTTCTACATGTATTTTTAAAGGGATATTTTAAAAATCAAATCAACCTTTCAAGATGATTCAATATCCAGTCCATTACTGCTGTTTGCCCATTTACTTATACAGGTTCTGGTTAGCAGTAGAAGACCTGAAGAAGAGACCGATCCGCGAGGTTCCTGTTAGAGTACAGGAAATCTGGCTAGAATTCCTTGCCCCTGGAGCACCAAGTGCCATTAATGTAGACTCAAAAAGTTATGACAAAACCACACAGAATGTGAAGATGAAGGAACCAGGGCGACATACATTTGCCGATGCTCAGGTTTGTATAACTATTTGTATAGATATGTACCAGGGGTGTCTTGATGGAGAAATGGAGCTGTGAAAAACTGTTTCCAACTTTACCATTCCTTTTCTAATATATTCCAGAACTGTATTTAACAAAGAGCACTATATGTATGCAATATGCTACATATTCAGGTTAAATTCTGTTTCAATAACTTGTCCACTAATTAAAAATAGGCTGGCGCCCTAAAGCCTACCTATAATTTCCCTGAATCAACAAGATTTGTGTTTCATAATAAAGTTTCTTAATAAGCATATAATGTCCTGTGGTTAATAGGCTAATCAAGTTCATTTATATTCTAAAAATAACTATGTAAATAATGGAAATATACTATAACTCCCAACCCTTACCTTTGCAGCTAGGTGCGCATAGATCCTAACCAACAAGTCAGCTCCTAAAGTTTTGGGAATGGCCACAGAACTATTCCAAACTAACCTTTAATGCAATAGAAGGTGAAAGTATGATGAAGGCAGAGTGGTGTTGTACAGTGGTGGGTTTCCATTTTTTTTACTACCAGTTCATAAATTCACAAACTTTGTGCACAAGTTTGTGTATGCACAGAAGCATCTGGGCGGAGAGGCTGAGCCTTCCGCCACTGCCACTACCGGTTCGCCCGATCCGGGACAAATCAGGAGCAACCCAACTCTGGTATTGTAGTAATGGAAGCCCTGCCTCTTTTGTACAGATGATGGAGCTTGTGTCAAGATACAGTACTATTTTCATCACTTGCTTGCCTCATCCCCTCCTTCTGCCTAGGGAAGAATTTGATTAAACTGAAATAATTCAATTTAATTTAAAATGAAACAACACTTTCTTTTTATCTTGAGAAATGCTCCCTTTGGCTCAACATTACATAGGTCAGACCTGCCCTAATCTGATCCCTTAGGAAAGAAAGACCCTCGATTCCATTTGATTGAAGTGAAAGATTATTTTATTCAAAAGATGTTGGCTACAGTAAAATCAGGCTAGCTCTGGGTTTCCCACACTCAAAGAATTCAGAAAGCTTTCCTTCATCCCAGCCCTCCCCTTGTGACCAGTCCGTCTTCAGCCAATTGGAACTCGCCAAAGTAGTTTGAAAAGACTGAGATATTTTTGGGGTGGTGGTGGTGGTAATTGACATTCTTTCTCAGGGTGCCTGGCCTTGGATTTTGGTGGAAACTGGTTCTGGACTTCTCTGGGCTTTATTACCTGCCATTCCCCCATCACCCTGTTTCCCATCATACATACACAGCTTTATTGCTGATCTATCCTCCCCCACCATTCTAGTTTTTGATGGTAAGATGCATGGGAGGTGCCAATCCGAGCATTACAGACCTGTAACATATTAATCTGCAAAGAAACAAATTTTCTAAAAAATATCAATTTTCATAGATGTTCTTTCAGCCAAAATATTACATATTATTGAGCTTTGCAATAGCAAATTGTTCCGGAATTGTGTTATTGTTTTCCCCAAGTTTTATTTGTTTTATTTATATAGCATCCATTTTTTATCGAATAGTGTGTTATACATTTTTATTGTTATAATTCCACACCATCATATTAATAATATAATAACATAATAATATCGTAACATTGATATTTAACATTGAAGATCATCTTCTTTTATAACTCTTCTCTTTACCATCTCCTCCAGTTGTATCCTCTCCTTTCCAACTTCTATTATTTAGCCACTGATAAAATATGTCCTATATAAAATGTATTCCGTTTCTTGTTTATCCTTAATAGCAAGTGTTAATCTACCCATTTCTGTGCAGTCTAAAATTTTCTTGATCACATTCCCCTCTGGAATTGTGTTATATTGCTTTGGATTCAGTATGTTTATTTGGCACTGAGATTACATATAAACACTTTAGGCTGTTCTACTCCAATATGTTACATGACAAGAAACTGATTACAAGGAAAAGGTAGTACTTGACTTCAAAATATAAAACCTGTAGTTTACTCACTCATATGTAGTTTATAGTTTTCAGATACAAACTGAATAATTGTTTTATAGAAAGCAAGCTACTTAATTAATTAATCCAAATCACCCAAAATCACTTTTACTGACAATTATTTATTTCCTCAATTGAATTGGAGAATCATACCCAAATTCAGTCTTCTTCAAGTGTATACACTTAATCAACCTAGTAGTGCATTTCCAACTCTAGTAGTTGAACTTTAGGCAGCTGTCCACTGTCTTGATTTTTATCTTTAACTCACAATAAATTGGCCAGAGAGATTGGCTGTACTGCCTGAATCTTACTGACAAGGCCCACAAATGTAGGGTGACACAGATTATTTAAAAATGTACCTGAATTTTTCTACTTGCTAAAATCTATATGGAAAATGCTAATAATTTTTCATGCCACTAGATGGCTGTCTATATACGTATTTTCTATACCAGCTGCCTTGTTGGTCTCTGGTAGGTTTGCATTAGTGGAAATGATTGGATAGTGCAGTGTTTCTCAAACCTGACAACTTTAAGATGTGTGAACTTCAACTCTTGGAGTTCCTCAGCCGGCATGTCAAGCTGTCAACTTGTCAAGTTTGAGAAACACTGTTCTATCTTTGTTTTTCTGAGATACAGTTCTGTGTTTAAGACTGTGGGCTGATGTGAGCTGTGTGCTTGAGCACACTTGTTTTAGTAGCTGTGTTATATGAAAAAATATCAGCTGGCAGCTGTCTAAACAGAAGTGCTACTGTTTAAAAATGAAGAGGTCTTTTATGTACTTTTTATCCTCTTGCACCTTTAAAGATTATAGAAATCCTCAAATGTTGACTTAGTGGGTGACTACTTGGAAGCAAGACTTTTCAATAGCCATTTCCAAATCACACTATCATTTGTTATCTTTTCAGCACCAGGGAAATACTTAAAAAAAAACCTCTTAGCCTTTTAATGCTTTGTATCTTTATCCTGCTGCTGAGTCTTTCCTTCCATTTTATTATATGATGTCTCTTTTAGCCTCTGTTTCTGTTGCTGGATTATTTTATTTATTTTATAATTATACAATGCTCTGTATACTTACACATTTTAAAGACTCCAAGAAAGTTACAATACAACGACATTAAAAAGAGACTCGTGGAACTAGAAATCCAAATGTACCAGCATCCAAAACCTCTACAAAATAAAATTGTTTTCATACACTTGAAAAAGGCTAAGGGTTTTTTTGGGTGGGGGCATGGGGGTCAGCCACAGAAGAGAATAACTGTATTTCCTTCAGCCCTCATGGGTTGGGGATAACCACCTGGGACATGTGACTGAGAAAAAGATTATTACTTTTTGATTTATATGGAATTTTATTTATATTTTTATGTTGTGTATCACTCAGGATAACATTAGCTATAGGGCAAGTAAGCAATCCTAGAAATAAACAAATGTTTTCATAAGCCAAATGAACAGTTTTTGTTTTGTTTTATTTATAAAATGTATAGGCCGCCCATCTTACCTCACAATAACTCTAGGTGGTTTACAATTATAAAGCTACATAAATTAAAGGGTGGCTCAGTGGCTAAGATGCTGAGCTTGTGGATCAGAAAGGTCAGCAGTTCGACGGTTTGAATCCATAATGCCGCATAATGGAGTGAGCTCCTGTTACTTGGCCCAGCTTCTACCAACCTAGCAGTTCAAAAGCATATAAAAATGAAAGTAGAAAAATAGGGACCATCTTGGTGGGAAGGTAACAGCACTCCATGTGCTTTTGGCATTTAGTTTTGCCGGCCACATGACCATGGAGATGTCTTTGGACAGTGCTGGCTCTTTGGCTTTGAAACAGAGATGAGCACTGCCCCCTAAAGTCAGGAATGACTAGCACATATGTGCAAGCGGAACCTTTACCTTATATAAATTAAAAACATACAGTAAATAAGCTAATACAAAGTCCAAAACACTACTGTTGCTAGCCATGTCCCCACCTACCTGAGCAGTGAAAAGCTCTAGGAACAAAAACTCTTCACCTCTGTTAGATGACATTTGTTTGTAATATTTGGTTTATTGATAACTGAAAGCCTGTAACAGCTCAATATCCTGCAATAGGGTGGCCCAAGAGAGGTTTCTGATTAGCCAACTTCCAATCAAACTTCTGCTCTGACTTGATCTTCTATGTCACATTGTGTTGTCTCTCAGTCTGCTTTCAGTCTCCTTTTCTTTGTTTGTGAAGGATTCATTTGCTCCTCCCATATAGTTGCTCCTGTAGATGTGACAAAGATTTCAACAAAATGTTCAGCATTATTAATCTTTCATTCACAATGCAATATGGCAATAAGAGCAAGCTGGTTGTGATGAGCCCAAATTCAGTGATCTGGCAAGAATCTCTTTTGCTTGTAGATTTTCCTTAAACAATCGTTAGTTGGAGAATGTCACAGAGCCAAAGCTCTGTATCCTGACATTTTTGCACTAAATTTTACACTAGTCTAAAAATTGACTAGTGTATTTTTCGGAGTATGAGACTCTCCGAAGTATAAGATGTACCTAGCTTTTGGGGAGGAAAACAAGAAAAAAAAAATCTGCCTCCCAGCAATTTGCCTCCTTGCAGCAAACAGCGAACAGCCTGTTTCAGTTTCAGTTTCAGCACAGCCTGATTAGCACAAGCAGCTGATTGTCGGGCCTCCTGATGATCAGCTGTTTCAGACTGCAGTGATTGACATATCCTATTGCCGCCTCCGCCACCCCATTTTCAGTCTCCACATCCCGTTTTCAGCTTCTGCATGCCTCATTTTTGTCCTCCACACCCCATTTTCCACCCATTCTGGGCAGCAGGGATTAGAATGTGCAGAAAATGGAGTGTGCAGAGGCTGAAAATGGGGCATGCAGAGGCCAAAAATGGGATGCAGAGGCCAAAAATGCAGCACATGGAGGCGGCAATAGGCTGTGGGAATCACTGCAGCTTGAAACAGCTGATGGTTGGGAGGCTGATTCAACTGACAATCAGCTGCTTGTGCTAATCAAGCTGTGCTGAAATTAAAACTGAAACAGGCTATTTGCTGCAAGGAGGCAAATTGCTGGGAGGCAGAGGCCAAAGCACTGGTGGGTTTCAAAAAGTGTTTGAACCTACTCTGTGGGTGTGGCCTCCTTTGTGGGAGTGGCTTGCCACCCATGTGACTGGATGGGAGTGGCTTGCCCCTCATGTGACCGGATATGAAGATGCCGACGACACTTGTCAGAACCACCTTAAATTACCTCACACGCAGCACTGGCATGCATAAGAATAGGATGTAAACTTTTTTAAAAAGGCATCTTTGGTTTGCGTTAAAATAACTTCAACACACACAATGTTATGATTGCACCACAAGCGCAGTAGTCATCCTTACCTTTCACAGAGGCACTGAGTTTTATAAATATGAGCATGATAGTGTAGAATAATCATATTCAAGGGCCAGTGGTGGGTTTCAAAATTTTTTGGAACCTCTTCTGTAGCTGTGGCCTGCTTTCCGGGTCCACTGGTGGGTGGACTGCTTTCTGGGTCCACTCTTCTAACCGGTTCGGTAGATTTGACGAACCGGTTCTATCGAATAGGTGCGAACTGGTAGGAACCCACCTCTGGGCCAAAGGGTGAGGGCCGGCAGGTGGGTGGGGCTACATTCAATGTATAAGATGCACTCAAATTTTTACCCTCTTTTTTTGGGGGGGGGGGAGTGTGTCTTATATTCCAAAAAATATGGTAACTCATGCAAATTAGATAAGTGGTCATTCAAAGTCTCTTTTTGCTGAAACAAAATCCTTGTAAACTAGCTTGTGCTGAAGACTCTCGTGTTGCTTGGATTGTGGCCAATTCTTGTTAACTTCTTTAACTGAAAACCCTAAAGTTTGCAACTTTATTAGAAATCATTTAGTAGGCACTGTATTAATAGAACCAGGTTTCTATGCTGCCCTAGGAATGAATTTCACATGTACACAGTCTGCTTTGTTTTTTTCCTTATCCTCTTTTTTTTTTTTAAATACTTTCAAAAGATCAGATTTCAAAAGTGAAAAACATTTCTATATTCTTTTATTTTAGGAGCACATCTACAAGTTGATGAAAAGTGATTCATATCCACGTTTTATACGATCCAGTGCCTACCAGGAATTACTGCAGGCCAAGAAGAAGGTATTATTCAATGTTTTCAATGTATTTTTATTCTTTCAGCAGTGGTTCTCGTCTATCATACTTTCTCTCTTTGGATAAATGAGCTGTATATCTGGTAGGTGAAGAGTTCAGTTCAATCTGAGCATCCCATAATGATGGTGGTATCCATGCCTATATTTATTTTGCATCTTTGCATGAGCAAATTAATTTCATTTTGACATTTATTTTGTATCATTCTGAAAGGAAATGTGGGACTATAACTTAGGAAAACAGATAAGAGCAGGTCAAAACATTTTAGAAAGATATATAAGTATAGTTGATGTAGTATGATTTCTACTTTGCAGCAGATATAATTTAATTATACAAAGCTACAAATACTGAATTTGTTTCATCTAAGCTTTTTTGTAGTCAAAGGTAAGTTCCACTAAGTTCAATAAGGACTCAATTCATACCTAATAAATGCATGGAATTTTAGAGCAATTAATTCTTGGTTATTGGGAATTCTTCTTTTCTTCTTAGTCTTGTTCAGGATCTGTGTCTGGAAAAAAAAGAGTTCCAGTAGGATGGCCATCAAAACATTCTTAGAAAGATAGTGCTGTGATCTATCCGCCGCCGACCCCTCCAGCAGCTGAATCAGATGAGGAGGGGGCGGGGAAGTCAGGGTCAGCATCAAGGCAATCTGAGAGCTCTGAGGGGGAAGAGGGAATGGAGCTGTCAGAGAGAGAGAGAGAGACAGAGGTGGAGCCTGCACCATTCATCAGCCCTCAGATGGAGAGTCAACAGCCCCCAGGTGTGGAGGTGGCTGATGAGGAAAAGGAGGAACAGCTGGGTCCAGTGCCTCATGCATGGATGTGCAGAAGGAGAGGAGAGCAGTGGAAATCTATGGGCCAATCCTTGGGATGGAAGAGCCACCTCTGCTAGCGAAGTCCCACCCTAGTTCTGGGGATAAAAGGCAGGGGGCAGAGATGAATAGATGTGGCAGACAACTATTCATCTCCCTGCCAGACAGACTTATTAGCCTGTGCTGTAGTGAGAGAGAAACTTTTTGCTGGGGCTGCTGAGGCTCCTAATAAAGGAATCATTGATTTAATTTCAGAGGCTTTGTTGTGTTTGGGGAGCTGGGTCAGAACAGGTAGATAGTGACAGTAAGGAAGGAGAACACAGTGAAAGAACAGTGAGCTTAATGTTCCCAAAATACAGCAATAACAAATAATATTAAATGTGCACTTACAACACATTTAGACTCTACACATATGTCTCTAACACAGTACTTGCTTTTTGTCTATCTTCTCCTGTCCCTACTCATTTTTGATGGGACTTTTGGCTACTAAAAGAAAGAAGAAAGAGTTGCCTTAATGCTCAGCCATTTTCTTTGCCTTACCAACCTTCATCTTGATTGGAGTATTCTGCCTCACCAATGAAAAGATTTCTTGGAGACAACCAAATCAGTCTCATACATGAGACTTGTATTCTTACTGTCTGTATCTCATCCTGATAGATATCAGGAGAATAGGGCAAGTAAATCTAGACTGCAAAAACACAGACCAGTAGGTGTCAGAGGGAAACCCTAAGTCTTTGCTGCCAGCTAGCAGTTGTCTGGATTTTTCCAGCTCCGACTAAGGAAGGTTACAGAGGCAAAATCAAACACAAAAAAGAATCCTCCAGAGGGCAAACTTCAAAAACTCCAGATTGTTCTACATAACTCTAGATAACTGGCTACTTTAATTCTAGTGACATGGTAAGGGTGGATAACCTGAGCCACCATTCCCACCTTACCAATGATCTTCCTTTTTGAGAAGAAAACTGAAAATAGATTATATGGTTTAAAAGAATCTGGGATTAGACAATTTCTGCACACAGCCGAAGAAGCTGAGACTTCTTTCAGATTTTCCCACAATGTGTGTTAATGGAGAACTGAGACCCTCCATGGCTGAGATCTTGGGAATGTTTTGACTTTTTTATATTTCTTCAAAATATTTATTATTACTATGACTATTAATTTTGGACGTCCATGGATATCACCTAGGGCGTTATGGCAGTGGTGAAATTAAAATTTTGTTACTGCCGGTCATGTGGGTGTGGCTTGGTGGGTGTGGCAGGGGAAGGATACTGCAAAATCTCCATTCCCACCACACTCTGGGGCCAGCCAGAGGTGGCATCTGCCGGTTCTCCGAACTACTCAAAATTTCTGCTACTGGTTCTCCAGAACCTCTCAGTCCTGCTGAATTTCATCCTTATGTTATGGGCACTTTAATACATACAGGCTCTGTGTTACTAATTATTACTTTTACTACTACAGGATGAACCCATCTACTGGGATGCTCATTTGTGCAAGCCCCTGAATTAAATACTGTAAGGACATTGATGCACAGAGAGAACTCCCTTGGGTAGAGAATGGGTATGCATGGGTAGCCTGCTTCCACTGGTCTTGCCTATCTGTCCACACTACATGGAGATCTTAAAAGGAGGTTCAGTTAACTCTGATAATTTAGAGCTCATAATGATCAGATCTCTGGATTCAACATAATGTACTTGTGTAGCTTGTTTCAGATCCTTGTGCTGAATGTATAAAGATCCAGTAGGGAAAAAATAGTGCAGAAACAATGGAGAGCTGGTTTGCTAGCTATATGTAGAATTTCAGGAATAATGCTTCCATAGGAATGATATGTTGTGTCAGTCTGCAAAATTAGGAAGGCAGAATAAAAGAAATCCAATAGTGAAAAATTCATAATCCAGTTTTGTAGTTAGTTCATGTTCCTCTCCTTAAAAGGTTAAAAGCAATAGGAAACCAAGAAAAAAAACACCATCCAAACAGGAAGTGTGAGAAGGCATCACCTAGAAATACGATAAAAATAATTTCCCTTCTAAAGCTTGTCTTGGCTCTGAGGGTTAATAGCAATATGATGGGGCATTTTATTGGGCCTGTGGCAGCAGAAAAAAGAGTTAACCAACTCTCTATACACCAAGGTACACCTCTGCACCCACCTGTGCTTTTTAGCATCTTAAAAGATACAAGGAACTTAAAGCAATGCATTGCCCTAACATTTAATGGCACGTGTGCCTTGAAAACTATTTAAAATCAACAGTCCTCCTTGAGGTTGAGATACTATTAATTCAGTAAATAAATGGATATTTTTCTTAAACAGAGGAGGGCTAGTCTTTTTAAAAAAAATTATGTTCTTAGATTGTGTAAGTGGTGACATAATTGGCAGAATGTGCAGGGCTCCTTGTCCTGTTTTAATTTCATGTTTTGTTTTGTATTATCCCAGTTTGATTGGCTTGGCAGTTCATTCTAAGCAAACTTCAGATCTTGTACGTCAGTGTTGTTCTTCACCCAGTGAATCAGCACTGTCAAAGCTGAGCCAGGCAGACATTCATGTAAGGGGGAGGGGGAATGGATGAAGTATGGGACAGCTGCTCTGGTTGCCAGGTGTGATTCTCTCTGCCCCACCCCTTCCAGTTTCTCTGTGCTCCTCTGCATGCCTAAAACTACATTCAGGTGGGCAATCTGTAAGCCTCTGTACACTTCGACTTCTCTGCTTCAGGAGAAAATTGTAGGGGAAAATATATTTCCCCTTCTATTTCTACGAGCATTTCATCTTCTGCACTTGCTTTTGTGTTGTGGGTTTCTTTTTATGACTTTTGTGTTTTAGCAACCCATTGCTTCATTTTGCTTTTATTTTCATGTTGTTGTTTTTTTGCTTCTTTTGCTTTTGTTTCCCCTTTATGCTTTTTTTCTTTCACAAGTTGGGAAATACACTGGATCGCCGAACATCATTTGAGAAATTCACACGGAGTATGGTAAGTTTATAACCTCGTGAGCCTTATGATTGACAGATTGTCCTCTGATATTATGTAGTTTTTGTTGACGCTGGCCTCAGGCTACCAGGCGGTGTTACAAGTCAGGCCCTGCTGGGAATAATTTAAACAGCAGGAGCAAAGAAGCTGTTTAATAATGCCATCTCGGTGCTGTCCCAGAAACCTTTTCTTTTAAGAAGAGAGAGAATATGAACTAGAATATTATTAGACTGGATCCATTTCACCCTACATTTTCTTATCAAAGCCACCTTTAAAAAAAATTAGACTCAGGTCTTTGGGTTTGTTTAACAATGTATGTGCCAATGCCTTTGGATTCACACTGTTCAACCTTTGCACTAGTTTAAACTAAAGCATTCAACACATTTATTTTTGTAGGGCAGAAACATCCCAATTTCCCCCTGCCATAAAAACTGTACACCAACACTGAGGGCGAGCACTAACCTGTTATGAAAAGAGGTAGAAAGATCTTGCCTTCTACTCCAGTTTGTTGACCTTGTCCGCCGAGTGGTGTACGTTTCCTGTGCGCACTTGTGGTGTGTGTGAGTGTGCATAAGTGTGCTGTATTGTGGCTTTTGCTGTTGCAGTCAGTTAACAAAGCTGTGTGTACTGAAGTGATAATTTATGAAGACCATCAGCAAAAATCATGGTTTTTGTTTTCTGTGTCTTCATAAAATCAATTCCCCTAAAAATTTCTAAATAAGCAAGGTTTTAAATGTTTCTAATAAAATGATAAGAACCCTATATATCTCTATTACAAACAGTATGATTTGGAGTACTTTGAATGCTTGCAAGGAAAATTAGTTATTTGCAGAATGGGACTTCGAAATTGGATATTTAGGGGGAAAGTGTTGAACCTAATAATAATAGAATGAAATATAAATTTAAGAATTTATTACATTTGAGGCTTCGTAATCCTCTCATCCAGATCCTGTTACTTTTAAATAACCTTGGATATTAATAGTTATTTGAGAATTGTACCCCTGCTTGTCAGCCAAATAAACAACAACAACAAATAGTGGAGAGTTTGAAACAAAAACCCCTATTTTTGCATGGTGGCTTCACCACAGCATGTTACATTGTGAATTTTGTTATTGTTTGGGAGCAAAAAGACCTAGAAAAGCAGCACATTTGTAGATGTGTAACTGAACTCTCTATTATAACTATAAAGTGATCTCCTTCAGGTCAAATTCAACCCCTGGTGGCTTGCCTATTGGCAGCAGTGCAGAAGTAACTTGGACTATTTTAGGGATTTTTTTTTATTTCAATCCCTAATGTAACCTAGAGAAGGCAGCCTGTACTGGAACTTTGTGTTCTCTAAATACTAACCAGGTACAATTCTGTTTAGCTTCTGAATCCCAACAAGTTCAGATGCTATCATCTGCTGAGAATCTCTAACTCAAGCAATCATTAAACCCAAGTCTCAAATAGAAGATTGTCATCTCTGAACTCTTAAAAATATCCTCTTTGGCAATAGCTGTAAGAGTTTTCAAACCCATAACCACACATCCACTGTGCCATTGTAACAAAACTTCCTCTATTTTTCCTTTCTTGCTAGCATAGATGATCAAGTTTCAACAAACTCCAGGCATGGCTTGAGTCCATCTGAAATCTGAAAAATAGCTATTAATTCAGATGAGACTTACTGGAACTACTAAGAACAGGGTTTGGATGTCCGGTTTCCTCACCAGAAGTATAATTGGGATTTGATGAGATGTGACAGTAAGGATAGAAAAAGGGGTAGGTTGCTGGGAGTTTTATATTAGCCAGTTGCTCTGCTTGTCAGAATGTGAGAACCAAATGTAAATTATGTATCTTTATGCTAGTGAAAGAACTAGCACAATGAGAAATA